ATAAATAATTACCAGGCCCAGAACAGCTAGCCCAGACAGAAGTTCTTCCTTGTGAATAAGAGCAAGAGCCGTCTGCTCGACGAAGGTAACCTAACTCACATCGCATCGTTCGCAACCGGCCGGTTAAACTCATGCTAGGCTAGGGGAAGCTCGTAAGTGAAAATGTTATTGTTGTAGTAAAGCTTTCAGATAATCTCTCCAGCTGCCTCTACAATAGAAATGACAGAATATTAAATTCAAAAATTTTTATTTTAAAGTCAACAACAATAACAATCTCTGTCAACAACCTGAAACAAATAGTGGGTAGTTAAGACAAGTACATCTGATTACATCTTTCCATTGAAAAAAATTAATTAACGAAAGGAACTACTTAGTCTTAGGTTTGTAACCTATGCTCATTGTACCCATTCTATGATGGCCACCCCGACCTCGCCTGCGGAAGTTCTTCCTGTTCTCCACGCGGAATTTCTGATTGAATGGATCAAACGATTCGTCTGTGTCTCCAGGGTGTTTATCTGCAATTAATAAGATAAGAATTTAGCTAGCGACACAAATTAGTTACAATCAAAATTTATAAATTTTTTATTCAGAACGTTGAAAAGTTCGGCTAACTCGAAACATGAAGAGCAAAGGAAAAAAAATTATTGCAAGTAAGGAACTCTACACTTACCATAAAACTGTTTCATCAAATTATAAAAACAGTATTTCCTTATCTGTACATTAAAACCAGGATGCTTCCGAAATAGTCACACCAGCGGCTCATTTCAAACAGAAAACTCACTAAACATGTTTGCATCAAACTGTGAGTAGTCGAATGTTCCAGCGTTGACATCAGACTCTTCTTTCTTCTCTTCTTCCTTCTTCACTCGTTTCACACTATATGAAGGCCCATCGTCTTTTGGAACTTCAGTGGATATATCCGCATTCTTCTTGGCCTAAACATAATTTTCGAATGGACAACTAATTACACTTGAATTTAATGATTAGGTGAGACTTACCACTTGCCTGACTCGCTTTAATTCCTTTTTGGTCAGTATCTGCGAATCGCTAAATGGCAGCGACATTTGATCGGCATCTCTCAAATCAATACTGGCTTCAATACCTTGCTGAAACAAAAAAAGAGGCTAAAACAGAAGCTTTTCATATATAATCACTTGCGTACCATTTTGGAAGCAGCTGGTCTCTGCGCAGGAGCATCATGATGAGTGTACAGCTTCTGCGTTGAAGGTGAAGATTCGGCAACAGCTTCGTTTTCTTTAGCCTTCTCTTCTGCCTAAATCTAGCCAATTAGGGAACTACAACTCCAAACATCAAACAGTTACCTCTCGTTTCTGTGCTTGTAACGTTGCGACCGTATAGCTCTCATATGGTGTAGGAAGATCTTGTAGTCGTGTATGTATTCGATTCAAAGATGTTGCATTACGAGAAACTTGCTGGAAATGGCGGAGATTTAGAAAAAGAAAAGGTATATTGAAGAGATAATTAGGGAAAAAAGAGTTCAATCACAAA